GTAACCCCCCCATGTCATTTGGCCCCAGGTGATGTTAATTAACCCCTTGGAGCCCTCTTTGAACCCCTGTGTCATCACTGGACCTCGTGAACAGTGAGCAGAGCCCCAAATGACCTCAGGAAACCCCCCAGTGACCTCATTTGACCCCTTGGATCAATTTTTGGGGACTAAAATGACCTCAGGTAACCCCCCCATGTCATTTGGCCCCAGTTCCCCTCATCAGACCCCACAGTGACATCTCTGAGGGGTTTCCCTCGACTCCAGTTGACCCCCCCAAAAGATCTAATTAGCTAATTTTGGATTCATTAGCTATCCTTTGTGTGTAATAGATCCATATATTGATATATATCAATATATAGTCCTGTGTGTTCAGTCCCTGTAGGTTCACATATATTAATATATTCATATATTAATATATTCAATTGTGTGTAATTCTATTCTGATATTTTTTATTAATGTAGAATATATGCTACCTTAGGATATATTATATATAATTCTAGGAATTCTATGCAATGTAAAAAAAAAAAACCCTGTTAATGCCCTTCTTGGTCCTGATGGATTATAGATTTTGTTCAATGATTCCCTTGGAATATGTTTTATTAGTTTGAAATTTGTGTAAATCATTCCTCCCTCTGTTTCTCAGCATCCACTTGAATTTAACAGATAATTATGGCAATAGTTATAAAATAGCTATTTTATATCTATATATAAAAAAGAGTGGTTTATATCTATATATAAAAAGGAGTGTTTTATATCTATATATATAATATCTATATAGTATCTATTTTATATTCCTCTATAAAAATATTTTATATCTATATATAGATATTTTATATATAGATTTTTACATATATTTATTTATATTTTTATAGAGAGATAGGAATTTTATATCTATATATAGATATTTTATATAGAGATTTATACATATATTTATTCATATTTTTATAGAGATAGGAATTTTATATCTATAGATATTTTATATAGAGATTTATATATAGATTTATTTATTTATATTTTTTATAGAGAGATAGGAATTTTATATCTATAGATATTTTATATATAGATTTATATA